ATACAAACCCAGTGAGAGGAAATTTAATAAGGATTTAATAAGGATAATTTAATTGTGTATTTACATATTTCCTCACATGCATCCTCTCCCTCCCACATGCAAGCTCTCCTTCAGCCCTTCTATGGGTTGCTGATCTTAAGGACCAAGACATTGAGTGTAATGAAAAATGCACACCGCTAATGGGGTGATAAATTATGATGGTAATAAAGTAATATGGCGGATTAGGTAATAATAAAGGACTCTGGACCAGAGTGCAGCTTTTTAACAGTATTCTACTGAGTGGATTTATTTTCAAATCATAAAATTATATAAACCAAAGCAAAAGACATTTGCCCGTCTCTATGAATGTGTGCTGTGTAATATGGTGATAATCACAGTAATGGTGGCAGTTAGTAAACAAGGTGAAGAAGCTGAGTGCCAGCAGTAACAGCCCAACAGAGAGAGCAGCCATACTACACATATTCACTCACACACACGCAGACACACACAAGCAGCCAGGCACGCACAGACACTCTAATGACCCAACCTTGCCAGGAAAAAACACAACCACAAAACACAAACAACGCACCCCACTGTACTCCGTGACCAGTATGTGTGTTAATGTGTGTGCGTGCGAGTTTGCTTTGCACCAAAAGTGCATTTTAGCCTTAAAGTAGGAGGTCCACAAGCAAAAGATGTTACTGCTGCTGTAGCTGCTGTTGAAGAAACATTTTTCATTTCTATGCAAATTTCATGCTTTCTACTTACATAAACATCACACAAAAAGTGCAAGACTTTAATTTGTTCCCTTATCATGCGTTGAGCTTGTATGTTGTCGGACGGCATACAACCAAATCTTTAGGCTTTTACCTGATTCTTGTGCTGGAATTAAGTCCACATATCGCTGTATATTTGGACAAACTAGCCAGGCAATACATCACTCTGTGCATACACATGTGTGTGTGAGTGGGTAGTGTCCAAGCAGAGCAGCCAGAGCTGAGCAGGAACAGCTGGAGCTCTAAGATTTCACTGGAATTTGCTAATGACTGCAAGATTTATAGCACACAGCACACACGCAAATGTGCACGTGCTGCACAAGAGAACAAAAACCACACAGTCTGTCCAGAATACGCGCTGTCATGATTACTACAGTGTTTACGAAGAAGCACGTTCGGTTATGTTACCTGAGCAGGGGTCCGCTGCCATTCTTGGTGGTCCCTCCAACAATCAGTTCCTCCTGCCAGTGCATGTACTTCCTGGCCAGACCATGGCAGCCTCCACTCAGAGCCCGTGCCACATCGAATGGCTGGAGCAATAAAAGCAATAACTGTCAACAACTAATCTCAAACTAAACACTTTACGTTTGAGCGAAACATATTAATACCCCACACTTATTGAGATATTCCGAGCCAAAAGCTTGAGGCTTGATGCATGCCCACCTTAGTCGAGTTCTTATTGGGCGCGGTGCGGGGGCAGTCAGGATCGGCTGGGTTCAGGCAGGGTCTATCCATGTAGCCATGCCCAATGTCCGCTTTTTCTAACATCTCCTCAAAGATTTCCACGTGGTTTTGCTGTGGCAACTCCTCAAGGAATTCCTTAGGGTCAAAATTGGTCCACTGCACAAGTCCTTTGCCTCTGCAAAGGTTAAAGGCAAATGTTAGTGTGCTTTTATGATGCTAGGTTTCTGTTCCTAAGAATAGCTGCATTTGGATCCCCAAAAAGTAAAATCTTATAGTCAAATGACAATAAAAAATGTTACCTAAGCCATCCACTATATCCATTAGAGTTGACAGGTCAACACTAGATTCAAATTCTGGCCTATCTGGATGATTACAAAAGATTACCTTACACCTGTTTGAATGAAAGGTTTTGTTTTATGTTCTTAAACATTATCTGCCCATCACTTTTTATTTCTCATTGAAGGGAATAAAACCACAAAAAGATAAAAAGTTCAAGATTACATTTTAGCCGATGAAAAAGGCACAATTCTGATAACGGTAACTAATCTCTTTCTTGCTATGTAATAAGTGGCAATAATTTCCCATCATGCAAAAGCTGAGTTCCTGCTCCAACCCAGACCTCGTCCCTCTATGCTCTCTTTTCCTCACACATTCCGATCTCTCTTTTTCTCTCTGCCATTCAGACGACATTGTATGTGCTTAACCAGGCTTGGGTTATTATTCCCAGCCTCCCAACCAGAACATAGTAAAAACCTTATTTACCATCTAGGTCCAGACACTCACACTCACACAGATAGACACACATCCACGCACTCTGATGATGGTGACTCAAGCTGATACACCTTTACACATCGACAGAAACGCATGTATGCACTGATGAAGACGACGCACAATATGGGCATGCATAAACACATGCAGAGGTAAAGGTCTGCTGAGTATTACTGTAGCAGCAGGCCATTAGCAACAGAACGGCCAGACAATGGTGTGAGGCCCAGGGCTCGAGAGAAACCATCGCCAGCGATACGCATGCCAGCAACCACTACAATAGAGCCTTCAGAGGGGACAAGTTCAGGACACACACACACACACTTGTTTCTCTGTGGTGTTTCTTTAGATGGGTTGAGTGTGTTAGAGCTGCCACTTATAAAAGGGGCTAATGCAAGATCCAAAGATTCACATCTCTTGTCATCTCTTTCTCATTATCACATTACCACTGCTACTGTATACACTACCGTTATGAGCTGAGCTCAGCACTTCAGGTCTTATTGTCCCAACATCATCTGAATCAGTTTGCCAACTGGCCTCACAGTAGATAAAGCTATTATGTAAACCCAATTAGGATTTGATCATTTGGCCATAAGCTTGGAAGAGTTTGGTCAATCCAATGATATGTAGTAATGATCACATCACAAATGCAGATTCTGTCTAGTCAAAAAGAGCTTTTAAGTACTTACGGGAGATAGCCTGTTCCAGGCTGGAGCTTAGCCCCCTCCCAGAAGCAGTCCAAAGGTGTGATGATGAGGCAGGGATGTAGCCTTTCTATGATCTAAATGGTTGAGCAAATAATAGAATTGACAAACACTGAAGAAGTAGCAACAATACAGAGATAAAAAGTCAAAAACAGAAAAACTATACACACTGTGCTGGTTGTGTCTCACCTGATTCAGGTGATGTGTTTCTGTGACTACTTCCCCTGATTTGTAGCATAAGTCTTCTAATTTCCATTGTCTGAAAAGGAGAAAAAGAGAGTGAAAAAGTCACTTGGATGAGTGACGAAACTTTTCATCCCAATGAGAATGCTTCGTCCAGAACAAAAGTTTAACTTTTTCATCACCACATAAACACCACGAGTGCACCCAGGATCAACTGAACAAGGAATAATACAAATATATCCTTCATCATTACGAATTTCTTTGTGTTTGTACACACAGAATAATTGCTATATCTCGTCATGTACAGCAATGAATTCACTCAGAGATTACCACTTGAGGTGCATCGATTTGTTTTTTTCCTGCTGATTATAGTGTTGGCTGATATGATTTTGTTTAAATAAGCACAAGAGTTGATAGCATACAGAAAAAAGTTTGCACATGTGCACCACGTTACAGCACCTTTCAGCACTCCTACTCAGACATATTTCAAAATAAATTGTTCCAGCTTGTAGGATAGAGCCTTTTTCATAAAGTAAAAGGGTTACTAAAAAAAAAGATTTTTTGTGCCGTTCTGCAATCACACCTCCAAATGCTAGTTTGCAGGAGGGTTACTCCACTGTTGGGATCAGCTTATTCGTTTACTTCAAACAATGTTGAATGAGCTGAGCACATCGTGTCAGCGTTGTAGCTGAGAAATGTTGACTGACACACAAGTAAGAGAATTTATACCTGGACCTATAACAGGGCTACACTCACAGATTACTGGCCACTGTGTTAGAATAAAGAGGAAGCCAGATACAGTTATTGGACTAAAGATATTAAACTTGAATTAACTTGTCCAGAATTGGAAAACATGATGCTTAGATACAAAATGACAAGAGGCACGTTACCTGTTATAAAGGTAAACATGAACTCTGCTGGCTCGGATAGCTGACTCCAGGTGCTGCAGGAGCGCCTCCACAGTTAGAACATTGGCTCCCTCCTCCCGCGGCGTCTGGATCATCAGCTGAGGGGTAAACATGGCCTCCTCGCCTATCTTCTGTCTTGTATACTTGAGTTCCTGGTTCACACGCCCGCCAACTTGACAAAGAAGAGTGAAGTTACATATTTAAGGCTTTTGTGAAAACATCCAGACCATTATTGCATTTGATTCACAAAATCTTATTTAGTAAAGTTAAAGGTTAAGAAAAACTGCATGTAAGGGTTAGGGGCCAGAATTGTGCTGGCTTTGAATATGTGCTTAAAAAGTCTGTGTTTTTCTGACACAAAGGCACAAATATCTGCAAAATATAGACACAGTAAAGGTTAAAACACTGACTTTCGTTCTGGTTCTTCAAGTAAAACAGGAGTACAGCTGACTAGAAAACATCACACTGCTACCAGATCCATTCCAGATCATGCATACTTTTTTTTTATTGTAATGCATTATTTTGCTCTGAACTACAAGATAATAATAATGCACACACACAAACAGCATGGTGTGCTATAAAGTCTGCGACTCACACAAGAGATCCCCTGCTCGTTCTGCAAAGCAGACCCACAGACATCGCAGCCTGTCTGTGACATTATCTGACTTGTATCTTAAATAAAAGCACTCTCCTCACAGTAAGCTTGTAACACTACAATGGCAAACATCCCAAGTCCTTTGAATCCACAAAAGCAGCATCACCTCAACAAATCCACATTTCACAAACAGCTCAGTGTTTCTCCTTAAATTTGCTAACTTGTCAGCAGCGCCAAAACACGTTGTCTGCATTTGTGTGTGACACTAGTGTGTGTGTGTGTGTTTGATAGAGAGAGGCTGTCTTCCAGGCTTTGCTCCCAGTATCGTGGTGAGACTAAGCCCTGTGCGTGCGCTCTGAGCCCTGAGCTAGCCCGAGCTACAAAAGCAGCCTTTCAGACCCTTTAGCTGTCCAGCTCCACCCAAGTACATCCAAGGAAAGTCTGGCAAAGTATCCCTCACAAACACACACGCACACACATAAACACACACATGCATGCAAACGAATGCGGGCATGCAAGGATGGGCAGAGATGAGCAAAATTATAAGGCAAATTAAATTTTAAAAAAGTACCAGAATTGTTTACGTTTTGTGTTCAGGTTTAAGATTCATGTGTCTTCATATGCATCCCCCAGTTTGGTGTGTCTGTTTCTAATTTACGAGCTGATAATTTGAGCCGTTCAGCGAAAGCTTGAGCAATTTATACTCATATTATTTCATTTGGTCACCCAGCCACACACATACACAAAACAAGAAAACTGTCCAGTGAGAGAGCCGACTGTGTGAAAAATCTGTAGCATTTTATTATGCCTTAATCCAATTTAACAATTCTGCTCAATCCGTGTAACAGTGGGCATGGATTGAATATTTTTTTGTCTACTGTAATGGCATTAAAGTTGAACATAAGCATGCCTGTTCTGCTGGGCTGGACCACCCAGTCAGACCAAGGGAAAAGGGAGAGAAGGGCCATGTCTTGGGGCATTAGGAAAACACATTTGATTTCTTTTTTTCTGGACTCAAACAGCATTCCTATCTGAACCTGTCTGAATGCATGTTTATAATGCTCATCATTAATAGCAGGCCTAGGCTAACTGGAGCGACATGCTTTCCACTGCTAGGCCAGCTACAGAGGTCCGTTACACCAGCCCTCCCTTCAAAGGAAAGTGCATGGAACTGATTAAGATCTGACGCACACTGACAGTGCACTAACAAGTCGGCTTGTCTGATGCACTCAACGCTCAAAGGCAATGCTAGCCTGAGGCTTGGTTTAAGTGCACTGCCAGGAGGGACAACGGAAACACGGGTATATGGAAAAAGGTGCATCCATCAGTCAATACCCTTCTACACGTGTGGAGATGGCACAGGGGGATGGGAGGATCAAGTTTAGAAAGAACCCACTGTCTGCTTTGAATTCTTTCCAAGTCGTGGACTGCCACCCAAAGATCCTGAGTTTACAGCAAGCAGCGAGGAATGGGACAAGTCAAAGGAATGTACTCTCCCGCTACAGGAAACAGCACATTACAGCCTCGGGCTTCGAGAATTCCACACTTCACGAGGTTACAAAGTTTTGGGGTCAACACTCACACAGCCTTGGGGTGAAATTAACACCCCAGCTGGACCAAGAAAACATGTATGTGTGTGCGCACACACTCAGCATACGTGCAAGCTTGTGCACACGAGTGTGCGTGAACACACAGCTGTGTTTCTTCAATGACACATATTCCCATATTCCTTCTCCTAAGAAAACTGGTTGACCCCAGCATGTGTTGATATCTTGAAGGTGTCCCGCTCCAGGCTCAGCTGCTGAGACCAAAACAAAGTGGAAATAATTTTCAATCCCTCCCTTACCGGCCTCGGTCTCTTACGAAAACAAAAATCATTTGTAATGTTTTGGAGTGACATGAAAAGTACACATCCAAAATAGATAATTAAGAGAGTCTGGTGAAGTCAAATTGTACTATCCATCAACTGGTTTTGAGCCAAAATGCTTTCATTCCAATAAATCACAAAACTTATATGTATTCTGACAGAACTGGAATCAGCAAGTTGCTTTCTGGTTTTCAAAAGTCCAGTTTCTTCACCTGTGTTCATGAACTTAGGCTCCAGAAACTTGTGACAGAAATATTTTATTATTTTCTTACTTGTAATAGATCAAACTGCTAATCAAAGTAATCAGCAGCATATGACTAGTTAGTTATTTAGCTAATCATGTCTGTATTTATTTTTACTGAGTTAGTGCGCACTGTTGACTACATGGGTTTGTAGTGTACGAGTTATTAGTTATTAATGATTGACAAACGAAACCAAAAACCTTAGGAGAAGAGAAGAGAAGAGAAGAGAAGAGAAGAGAAGAGAAGAGAAGAGAAGAGAAGAGAAGAGAAGAGAAGAGAAGA